TCTGAGTGGTCTAGAGACTTGGTTTTAACTGCTACATTTTTTTTTAATTCCTGTGAGGATGAAAATGACTTAAAGCATCAAAAACTCTCACATAAATTTTAAACCTGAATTTTGGCTCCAATGGGGACCAGTCATTGGTCCCCACTGGTCCTCCAACCCCCACACCCACCCACATCATGTCTATAAGCCTCACAGAGGCAGAGAAAAGCTAATTCTGGCCTACAATAATCAATACTGACAGAAGTGAAAAAAACAGCAGCTCTACTTTACTTTAAGTAAATGTTATCTCACACAAGACAGGCTTTCTGAAGTTAATCTTACAAGATTTTATTACTCACACGTAACCATAGTGACAGCCAACATCTGGTCACTTATCTTCCACTTGGTGGGTACAGGTAGGTATATGGCCAGTTGAACTGTACAATAACTAGTGCGAAATGTTTCAAGTACTGAATACATGAACAAGAACGCATTCACACCAACACATGGATCATCAAAACATGCACAATCATAGAATGTGCGTAACAAAACATTCAAGTGCTCTTTGTTTTTCAATAAATTCTTTTTGCACTTTCACGCTGAATGGCAGTGACCCGGTTTTTAACATAGAACTTTACCGCAGTCCAGCTTCTATTTTTCAGTGCCTCTGCTGAAGCCTTAATGCAGGCATTGCAGTCCGATTTTCCTGGTACTTTACCAGATTCGATGAAACCTTTAAGTGTCTTTTCCACTGCCCGGACTTCACCAACTGACCAGCTCCTCTTCTTTGAGGTTTCTATGAAAGAAAAGTAAAAAAGGAACTCAGGAGTGGAGACAAGCGATTCAATTGGCAATTCATCAACTGTTCAGTTATTCAGTTAAGTTTTTCCTTGCCACTGTCACCAAGTGCAGCTCATGGTGGGATGTTTTGGAATGGCAAAGAATTTGGTCTCAACCTGCCCTATATGAAAAATGGCTTGAGGTAACTTCATTGTAATTTGGCGCTATATAAATTAAATTTCATTTGATTTGAAAAGGGATATTTTGCCTTATAAAAAAACTATTTGTAACCTTTTTTCTCATTATTATTTGTACAGACTGGTGCAGTACCCAACTTTTTATGTATTTCATATTGTAGAATAAACTGGGAATCTCCAGGATTACAGATTAATGTATTAAGTGTTGTGCTGTCTGCACTGACTGGCTGACAACAGACTAACAAGGCTAACCAATGAATGCATTTACAACAAGTCACCAGGTTATCTCCCGCTGTGCAGAGAGGTGCCGTCACTCACTAATGTTACCTGCAGTTGGTCAGTAACCAGATTTTTCTGCCCCTTTTCTAAAAATCAATGTAACTAAGTAAATCTAATAGTAATAGTTATGCACAGTGTTTGAAATACCTCGTTTAGAGTCACCGTCATCATGCTGTTAAAAGAAGGAATAATTAGTATAGTTATACAGGATAATAACTGCTAACTGACAACACAATGCTGTCAGTCCTCTTTATTGGTAGTACTGAGCAAGAAGGAGAAGTATACAATCACATTTCTGAAAATTGCTAAAAACTGCAAATTCTCTCCCTCGTCTTGGCCACACATGCTGATACAGTCATGGAGCATTTCGGCTTGCAGCTTTGAAATAAAAGCATCACATGATTTTTAAAATGTCCAGCTGCTTTCAGCGTGGAGTGTTCTACAGTGAGCTTGTTTTAATAGTACCCATTGTCTTTAGGTGTTTGTCCATGACTTCTTTTACACAAACAGGGCAAGCCTATGAATATTCTCATTCATCCAGGTCGTAGTTATCTCAAGGAAATTGAATCGCACGTCAGACTAGTCCAGCCTAGTCAGACCAGCATTAACTGATGAAGCCTCTTGGATGGGAGGTGAAACATCTTTAAAGACATATAACCAAGTCCAGTTGTGTTCGATTCAATTTCCTTGAGGTTACAAACAGGGCAAGTTCTAATCAAGTGCCAATGCTCAGTTTTTGGGTTACCTTTAGTGGGATGCTCAACACTGCCAGGCTCATGAGAGTTTTGCTGTCCCCCTGTCAAAAGAATAACTTGTATAGAATAAAAGTATGAAATTCAAAATTATTGTTGAAAAAGCTCAATTTGATTCCACATCCTCCTCTACTCAAGACCATAACTCAACTGCTGCACCACATGTGGAAGCTGGTAAATATGAAGTCCAGTCCACTATGGTCAGACACAATGAACATATATTATCAGATAAAGCAGATATGATGCTTCATGCAGTAGTTCAGCTGCATGTAGCTCTTCCTTGTAGCTGAGACTCCAGCCGGGTGAAGCAGAGCACAGCTGTACTGGCTGGTTGACAGACTGATTTTAAAACAGAACTTCATTCCACTCAAAAGCAGTTGGTTATCAGCTGGTAGAATATTGAATGGTGGTATATTGTTCTCTTTTGTACAGACAGTAAACTAGTATCTTCTGTGTGTTAAATACCTGTTTGAGGGTCATCACTGTCAGACTCAACAGGCTGCCGTCTTTTCTTAGAGCTTGAGGATGCTGTTAAAAGAAGGAATAATTAGTACATTAATACAAGATAGTAACTGTAACTGACAACAGATCTTGACTAAATGAAAGCCACCTGTATTATGACATTTATGTGCTTGCTTTGGTTAAAGTGGCAGGAGATTTCAGGCAGTGATGAGGGATGAGGAGAGAAGAGACAAGAAATAGGAGAGAGGAGCGAGACAATGCACTTTATGAATGTGCTGCTACAGTGTTAGAACTGTTGACTGTTTTAGCTTCATTTCAATGATGTTTTATATTTGATTTTTAAAGAGGTATTAATGTCCCTTTGGTACGCTGACAGCTAGAGAGAAACGGTATTTCATCTGTTTTGTGTATGTAAATACACAAGAGTCATCTGATCATTAGAGTTTGTTTGACTAAAAGTACTGACAGAAAAGACTGTACATTATTAATCATTAATAGTTTGTTTTAACATTGCTAAAAGATGAACTGAGCAGGAAGAATCTGCACATCATTATGTTTTAATTTAATTTCCTTTTTTGTAAAGACAGGTAACTACAAATAGGATGCACAACAGATAGTGTATAGTATAGCTGTCACTGATACTCAGATTGCTCTATTATCTTAGATGTTTTGATAAAGTAACAGGTAAATCATGATCTGTCTCTCTGTTTGTAAAAACAAGGAAAAAAATAAAGGGTTTAAATATCAAGGACTTTTTGTCATTAAAGTTGCTTGATTGGCAAATGATTGACCTTAATGCACACAACTGATGTGTAACCCACCTGAGGAGCAAAAAGATGAGTCCCAGCCCATCTCTGTCTCTGACAGGTCACTGTCCACAGCTTCTAGTACCTGTTCTGAACACAAGGGAAAAAAAACAAAATATCATATGAGAAAAGGACGTTTACTCAGAAATGACACTAAATAAGATGTTAAGAGTAAGTTTTCTTTACCACTGGGATCAATCTGGATTTGATCCAAGCTCATTCCCTTGTAGTCTGACAGCCGGCCCTGTTCTAGGGCAATCAACACTTTACTGACTTTAGCCAAGTCCAGTGTCCCTTCAGGTAGTCTGTAGTACTGTCTGTGTACCTGTATGTCATGGCCAAGAAAATTTGCCAGTGTGTCCATCTCATTATCCTTCAGGTTGAGAACTGTGGACAGTGTGGAGACCTGCTTTCTTAACTTGGTTGAGGACAGAGTTTCAGGATGCTTGGCCCCACATTCCTTTGCCATCTGTCTGATGGCATCTGATCCCCTTAAGTGACTCTTTGCTTCAGCTCTGGCAAAGAAATAAGGATTGTCATCAGGCACACCACAGGTCTGCCGATGTGCAACCAAGGCCTCCATTGATGACAGCATGTCCGGTGTTAGAAGGATCGGAACGTTCCTGTTTCTTTTCCCTCTGATTTCAATCCGTTGAAAATGTTGGCAAAGCTTTTGCTCCAACTCTGAAAGACCTAGTGCCACATCTGAATGAAGTTCTGAACTGTCTCTCAGGGTAAATGCACTAAGTGGCATCTTTGATACTTCACCTTTTCTTCTGCGGTTAAACAGGATCACCTCAGCAAGCGTTACACGGGCCAGCTTGGTCCAGGTCTTCTTGCCTGGGTGATTCTTCAGATTCCTTTGGTATTCTTCTCTGCACTTTTCGAGGTGCATGTGCATGTTCTTGACATCCTCAGTGAAAGGAAGGAGCTGAGGAGTGTTCCATTTCACCTCTTTCAGAGTTTGTAGGGCACGTGATGACACACACATCCCACTTTTTCTCAAAAAGACCCCTGCTCCTGTTCAGGTTGTTTAGAAATTCCTCATTGTCAGACTCTGCCATCTGCGCCTCACACTCAAGAATATCTGCAATCTTCTTGAGACTATGACCCAGCTTCAGAGCCAGCGATAGACTTTTGTAGGTGTTTTTCTCCTCATCAAAGCCAGACACAGCTTTTACTGCTTCAACCACAAAGTTAAAGTTTGAAGGCACATAGAAGTCCTTAATTCGTTTCAGTCTACCACCTGTCCGTGACTGCTGAACTAGTCGCCCGATTTCCCGCATTTTTTGTCTAATGTAGTCATGTTTGGTTTTGTCATGTCCATGCTTGGCATACAAATGTTCTCCAGGTTTCAAAATGGTTGTCTCTTTTTTGATGATGTTTGTGACTTCATCTTGATACATGGCATTTGATAGCTCCCAAACATTTTGGCTAAGACCATCTGGGACAGGCTGTGCATACGCACAGAGCGCCTGGATCCGACTTCTACCTGGCTTTAGCGTGCTACATGTAAGTGAAAGCCTACACTTGGACATGTACAATGACTTTCTTTTGAGCAAGGCCTCACAGTTTATACAGTGCATGTAGTCACTTGCTTTCGCTGGTTTTGCAGCTCTAAAGCTTGGCATCAGTGTGCCACTACCAGTGTTTAGGACCTCGTTGTTATGAGCACGGTCCCCTTTATTTCTAATAAGGTCAAAATGTAATCTTCGTTCCTTTGACTTCAAAGGAAAACTTATTGCTTTAGTTACAGCAGGTTCATTGGTGTGTTTGCGGATTAAATGCTTTGCCATTTTGTGGCAGTGAATGGGACAGTACAAACAACAATGTGTCTTACTGTAATCTCTGGCACCATTTGACTTTTTTCGCAGCTTCATTACAGACACATTTTCCAGGCTTGTGTCATCACAGTTTTCGCTTCCTGTTCTCTTCTTGTCTTCATCTGAAGACGTTTCTTTCTTTTTTTTTTCTTGTATGTCCTTTGTGACGTCTTCTGCTTCACCACTGGAACCTTGCTCATGGGACTGTCAGGTTCTTCTGCACTGCTTTCATAAACAGAGGCTTTCAACAGATAAGAACAAGATATTCATCACCACTGCTTATAGAGGTGTCAAAGGCGTGTGATGCCTTGGAAATCTGTTCAAGGTATTCTCTGGTGAGCTGAAAATGAAATGTACCAAAAGCTTATAGTTAAAAGAAGAAACACTAACCTGATTTAGAAATCTTAAATTGTCTTAAACCATGGCAACTTAACATGACAATCAGCCTTGTGTGATACACAGGATTAGAGTTAGGGTACAGCTATGAGCCACAGAAGAACAGAGGGATTCATTTTAAATCATTGTTATCTTTGTTTCCCCCTGTATGAGTTAGGTGTCCTACTGATTTCAGAATGCAAACTTACAAATACACTTTCAGTTCTTGTCAGGGGGGGTTGATCTGGGTCCTCAGGATCAGAGTGTGAGGTTTCAAGGATGCTTGTTTCCTCTGATTCTGAGCTTGATTCCTAGGGAAAAAAAACAGAACATCTCTCAAAGAGTATTTCCTAAAATCAGTCCCCACTTCCGTAGTAATGTAAAGTCGGTTTTCTGATTCGAACCAGCGCGAGGATACATTGGTGCAATTGTTCAGTTGGTCGCTAACGCTCTGCAATCAGATGGTCACACAGAAGACGACAGGCACTACTGAGAGTCGACTTCTTTTCTGTTGCTATACAAGCGGGACCAGTGAGGTAATTAGACAATAATAAGTTCACAATCACAAACATGTAAAAATCACAAAGTTGGCTCATCATAAAAGAAGCTCTTGTTTACAGAATCCATGCATCTCCTTGAATGAATGAATACCCCTATACTGTGACTACATACACAAACAATAACAATATATAAAAAGTTGCAACCCTTTCATCAAGAATAAATATTAGCCTACATATAAATATGAAATATTATGGGCTAAATAACAACATATTTAACAATGAATTAGTGAACGACGCGTAAAAAGGTGTGCTTCCTGGGATTGGTACGGATGGGGTTCACACCAGAAATTAACCACTCCAGAGTTCACTTGATAACGGACCGAGACCCCCCACCCCTACAAGGTGGACCGGAGAGCGGTTGTTTGGTCTGCACCAGAGTTTGAGGCCGGCGTTCATACCATCCCAAATGAACCACACCAACGGGGTAAACGCTCCAAGGTTCAGTTCAACCAGACAAAACAAGGCTGGTGTGAACATGACCTAAGAACAGTCTAACAGTCTAATAACAACACTGTGGTGAATGTACAGTTGCGACCATTTTTGATAGTGCTTCTGTTTCTGTATGTTGGAATAACTTTGCTAAAACCATAACTCACTTTGACATAAACCTGCACATTATGAAAATGTTAAAGCGCTGCATACAATCAGATATCAAGGTTGTTAGAAACATGATTATTGTTCCAAATGCAGTAACAAATGAGGGGCTGCACACAGGTACACAGTGGTTTGCCACATGCCATTTTAAGTTTGTGGATAGTCTAGTTTTCACACAGCTGTTGAATTATTTAGTTTCAAACACTTAAATCTAGTTGTGCTATCTCACTGCAGCTGCACACTTACTATCATGACTTTCCAAGTGACCCTACATTGTAACTGACTGGTAATAACAGGATGAGATTAACCATTAGGAGGGTTGTCATATGGAACAAGTTAAAAGCAGTGTTTGACCCTTACCAAGATCTTAGAAGGTAGCTGCGTCTCTGCTGGAAGTCCTGACAGTGGTAAGGCCTCAAAGACAACAAAGACAGGACACATTTACAACAATTTTCAACAAAATAAGTTTAACAAAGAGCTGCAGAACCAGAGCACTCAACTCCTGCCCACATATTTTTTATTATTGAAAATGAAAAGATGCAAGGGAGTTTTAAAAAGAGTAAATCACATTATATTAGGGCTGTGCAATATGACAAAAAAACGTGTATGCCTTAATAGGTAATTTCTAATCCAGTTAACAGTACTGTAAATTCAATGAATATAAATATATAAATTACATATTGCATAGCCATATCTTTGCAGAGGCAAGTTTTTCCTCACTCGAAGGACAGAGGGTGTCACTCCCTGTACAGATTAAAGCCCACCGAGGCAAAATGTGTTTTGTGAATCTGGGCTATACAAATAAAATTTGATTTGATTTGAGATGTAAGTTGCAGCTCAGATTAGGGCATTCAAAATCCCTGCTATTCTTACCAGATCCTCCATGTTTCATCAAAAATAGATAAGAGTATTGCAATCTTAGTATTGTATCACAACTTGTATTACCTCTGTTTGGTGCTCTCCAGGCGACGTAAGCCTGTCTTTATCCTTGTGAGTTGTCTACTCAGTCTGCATGATGTGAAACACAAACAAGTTCACCTAGCTGATGTAATATTTGACCTATGAATGCATGACTTTAAAAAATCTTTCTGGCTATCATTTCTTAACTAAACATTGTCAATAAAATCTCATAAATGTTATGTCTATTAGGAAAATCAAGTCCAGGTTTAAACTAAAAAAAAAATTTTAAAAAAGGAAAAATATCTGTGTTACTTATAAATGTGTTACAGAGACGATGAACTGGCTTAAATCACAATCATGAAGCTTTTACATGGCTGAACAACGATAATTAAGATGTTGTCACTCATTTCAACGAACTGCTTTTTTAGGTGTGTTAGGTTTTTAGGCTCCTTAACTTAAGAACATGATATTAGTTGAATGTTACATTAACATGCTGCACATCTGGAGAAGCCTCTGGAATAGTGGCGTTAATTCAAATGAAAATGTAAACTTGTAATCCCACAATAGCATTATAATGGGTCCGTGTATGTTTTGGTCATTGGATGTTCCTTTCAGAAACGGGGATTAAAAAACAGAAAACGAGTGCTTATTTGATTTTCGTTTTAGAATACAAAGATTAAAATTGAAATACGAGGCGTTTTTCTTTTTCATGGTCAGAAAGGGATGAGCGAAATTTAAAAAATGATTCGATTTTCATTTTCTATTTCATATAACAAAAAATAAAATCACTAGAAAACAGAAACAGAAAAAAGTCCTGTTTTTTCATATTCTGAGACCGGATGTTGTCATTAACAGGACGGTGCTGTGGAGAAGAAACAGTAGGCTAGTAGACTGCGGTCAATCCAGCCGTGAGTCCGATCTCCGTGGTCAAATCAGCCGCACTTAAATTTAGAGTGTACAAGTATTCTCAGCATTATGGTAAATGCGGAGAAACAGCGTATTAACGTCAGGTTTTCAAAATAAAGGTATTTAGAGCCGTAAGCTATAATTAAAATATGTTACATTAAAGTGTTTCATGCGCCCCTGATGAATAAAAAAACACTTTATATCAAGTATCTTTACTGCACCAGTGTGGAGAAATGCCAAAATAAAAGTCTCATATTAATGCCTCCAGAGATTGCATATTTGACCATATTTGAGCTACTGTAAAAACATATTGCTCAGTGTTTCCTGGCTACTGATGGTATATTTGACTTTTACACATCTAAGACTACAAGTATACTTAATATCAAGCATTTTTACTGTACCAATGTGAAGAAATTGAAGAATAAAAGTCCCATATTTATACTTCCAGATTCCATATTGTCTTATATTTGAGCGACTGTAAAAATGTAAACTGTATGTGGAACCACCTGCAACAGCTGTCACACTGAATAATATAAAAAATAATATGTGAGGAAGAGACAGTAGGTACAATGGTGTTTTGAAGTTAAAACTAATTGTTTTTCCCTTTTACCTACAAATGGACACAGCAGAGCAGCAAAATAAGAAGAATGTGGACTGGCATTGCATTTTGTGTGAAAAGTAAACAAATTAGAATTGTGTAGGATTTTATGTTTAGTGTTTATATTATCAAGATGTTATTAAACATTTGTGTGAAATTTTGTCATGATTACTGCAGCATTATTGAAGTATAATGAAAATGCTTCACCCATAGCCAGGAATTATTGAGCAATATGTTTTTACAGTAGCTCAAATATAAGAAAATACCACTTGGAGGTACAAATATGGACTTTTATTCTTCAATTTCTCCAAATTGGTACAGTAAAACTGCTTGATATTAAGTATGTTTGTAGTCTCAGATGTGTAAAAGTCAAATATATCAGTAGCCAGGAAACACTGAGCAATATGTTTTTACAGTACCTCAAATATGCAATCTCTGGAGGCATAAATATGAGACTTTTATTTTGGCATTTCTCCACACTGGTGCAGTAAAGATACTTGATATAAAGTTTTTTTTTATTCATCAGGGGCGCATTAAACACTTTAATGTAACATATTTTAATTATAGCTTACGGCTCTAAATACCTTTATTTTGAAAACCGGAAGTAAATACGCTGTTTCTCCGCATTTACCATAATGCTGAGAATACTTGTACACTCTAAATTTAAGTGCAGCTGATTTGACCACGGAGATCGGACTCACGGCTGGATTGACCGCAGTCTACTAGCCCACTGTTTCTTCTACACAGCACCGTCCTGTTAATGACAACATCCGGTCTCAGAATATGAAACAACAGGACTTTTTTTCTGTTTCTGTTTTCTAGTGATTTTATTTTTTGTTATATGAAATAGAAAATGAAAATCGAATATTTTTTTTAATTTCGCTCATCCCTTTCTGACCATGAAAAAGAAAAACGCCTTGTATTTCAATTTTAATTTTTGTATTTTAAAACGAAAATCAAATAACCACTCGTTTTCTGTTTTTAATCCCCGTTTCTGAAAGGAACATCCAATGACAGAAACATACACGGACCCATAATGTTCCACATGTTTGTCTTATTTGAGTCAAAATGAAAATGCAATAATATAATTTACATTTTCATATACTTGTATGGGCATTGTATGACCATATTAAAATGAAAATGAAAACAGGATTTGACATTTAATTTTCAAAGACTTAAACTAAAGTGGACATTATTTTAAAGAGCATGTTGACCTGCACATGTAAATGCACTAAAGGTCAAATGCTGTTTTCATTTTCATTTTAATATGGTCATAGAATGCCCAGACAGGTATATGAAAATGAAAATGTAAATAATTATTTTCATTTTCACTCAAAATAACACATATGTGGGAAATTATAATGCTATTGTGGAATTAAATTCTCATTTTCAGGTTTACATTTTCATTTAGATTAAGTCCACAATACGCTTCCCTTAACATTAGCATCCCTTTCTACCTTCTGCAACAGGTCAGAAAGTCAAAGTGTAAAAAAGAAGAACATTAAAAACTACAGTGACATTAGCTCTCTCTGCTAACATTACAAACAACAGCTAGAATACGCTTCTGACGCAAACACATCACATAAAAAGTTCATTAAGACAGCACAAAAAACCCATAAAAACCTAATTATCAACCTGAAACTCGTTTTTAGAATTTACTCAGTTTTCATCTTTTTCCGTCGTTGTCGCTCACATCTCTCTTCTGCGCATGCGTCTGTTCTGCGCCGCTCCGACTGACCGTGAGGGGGGCGTGTCATTGAGCGTCATCACAGGTATATAAACTAATGGCTTATAATCTAATAGTATGAATTCAAAAGTTATTAAATAATGGTCAGATAGGAAAGGATTATGTGGGAAGACTATTAAATGTTCAATATCAATGCCATATGATAGAACAAGGTCAAGAGTGTGATTAAAACAATGAGTTGGTTTATTTACACTCTGACAGAAGCCAATTGAGTCTATTAATGATATAAATGCATTACTAAGGCTGTCATTGTCAACATCCACATGAATATTAAAATCACCTACAATAATTACTTTATCTGATTTAAGGACTAAACTTGATAGAAACTCTGAGAATTCAGATATAAAATCAGAGTACGGTCCAGGAGCATGGTACACTATAACAAACAGAACTGGCTGCAATGTTTTCCAGTTTGGGTGAGAAAGACTAAGAACAAGGCTTTCAAATGAATTATAATTTAGTTTAGGTTTAGGGTCCATTAAAACGGGCTGCCACTCCACCTCCTCGGCCTGTGCCTCGAGGAATGTGAGTATTAATATGACTGGGGGGTGGATTCATTTAGGCTAACATACTCCTCGTGGGACAACCAGGTCTCAGTAAGACAAAGTAAATCAATATCATAATCTGATATTAATTCATTCACTAAAACAGCTTTAGAGGACAGAGACCTGATATTTAACAGCCCACATTTCATTCTCTTATTTTGTGCTACTGAGGAGTTAGTTTTAATTTTTATTAGATTTTTATGTTGAACTCCTCTTGTTTTTATTTCTTTAAATAATTTAGGTGGTCGGGGGACAGACACAGTCTCTATGGGGTTTTGGGTGGGTGACTGTTCTAAAGAAAGAGCAGAGAAGTGTGTAAGACAGCAGCTCTGCTTCCTGGTCCTAACTCTGGACTGTCAGGTTTTAGAAATAAACTTCACCATATTTCTAGATAAGAGAGCCGCTCCATCCAAAGTGGGATGGATGCCGTCTCTCCTAATCAGACCAGGTTTTCCCCAAAAAGGCTTCCAGTTATCAATGAAGCCCACATCGTTTTCTGGACACCACCTCGACAGCCAGCGGTGGAATGACGACATGCGGCTATACATGTCATCACTGGTCACATTGGGGAGGGGTCCAGAGCCTAGAAATAGTAAAGTCGGTAGCCTTTCCTCAGCAGCGACGCCTCTGTTCAGGAGAAGTCTGCAACCACCACGGTGCTCCCTTCAATGAGTTAACCCTAACCCTAACTGTGAACATTTCCATCCTCTTTACCTCAAACACTGTACAGCTCTTTTAAACCTTTATGTTTATTGTACATTTCTGGTTTATATGTATTATTGTTGACTGTTGCAGTGTTTATTGCTCTGCACCAGAATACCAACACATTCACTTCCGGTTTTCAAAATAAAGGTATTATGAACAGTAAGCTATAATTCAAACCTACATTTAAAATAAAATATGTTACATTAAAGTTTTTTCATGCGCCCATGATGAATAAAAAACACTTAATATCAAGTATCTTTACTGCACCAGTGTGGAGAAATGCCAAAATAAAAGTCCCATATTTATGAGATTGCATATTTTCTTATGTTTCACCGACTGTAAAAACATATCTCTCAATAATTCCTGGCTATGGATGTTATATTTGACTTCTGCATATATAAGACTACACACACACTCAATATCAAGCATTTTTACTGCAGCAATTTGGAGAAATTTAACAATAAAAGTCTATATTTGTACCTCCAAGTGGCATATTTTCATTTGTTTGAGCTACTGTAAAAACATATTGCTCAATAATTTCTGGCTATGGATGATATATTTGACTTCTGCACATCTAAGACTACAAGTATACTTAATATCAACCATTTTTACTGTACCAATTTGGAGAAATTTAACAATAAAAGTCCCATATTTCCACCTTTCAAGTGGCATATTTGACCATATTTGAGCTACTGTAAAAACACATTGTTCAATATTTTATGGCTATAGGTGATATACTGTATATGATTTCAACACATTTAAGAGTAAAAATGTTTTCAAATGTTTTAGGTAAATACATTTATTTATATCTATTTAACTTTCATTTAAATATTTGATACTGTCTTGCGTCTATCTTAATAGATTCCTTTTTCTTCTATCAAACTTAATTATAAAAGTTTTGGAGTTTACCTCAAATGACTGTTAACTTGAAGTGGAGCGACAGATCTTGGGGTTTTTTCACACCTACAAGACAAATCCCCCATAATACCTTGAGACAGGTTGTTGTTGTTGACATCACACAGACTGAGCGATAGGTCCTAACGGATCATTTGTTAAGCTGTTTGTATATTGCATGTTTATTACATGACAATGCCTGGAAAGAGCGGGTAAGTTTTGCTTTATTAATTCTTTTTTGATTAAGACACTCTGAATTTGAGTTTTTGACTTAGCTTTTAAGTTAGGCTACTTAAACTCTGCCAGGTCACCGACGTCCTTGTCCGACATTTTTTCTGTCTGAGGCCTAAGCTTAGTTTATAATGAGATGATATAATATAAAAATATAAGACATCAGGCAACCACTAGTATCAAAAATGCAATGTTTACTTGTCGGTAGACGCTGGAATGATACCACATTTTTTTTCCCCTTTAAGTTACTTTTTAGGACTTTTTAATGTCTTTATTTGATAGGGACAGCCGAAGACAGACAGGAAAGTGAGGCAGAGAGTGGGGATTACGCGCAGCAAAGTTTCTTTTAAATTTGAATCACGAACAAACATGCATGGCCATTGTAAAAATTAATTTCACTTCTTACCATAAAATAACGATTGTACCTGACAAATGTCAAATGTTATAATACAAGATTTTCATTTCAGAGAATGCATTATTCAGTCATTAGCAAATATTTGTATTGTATGACCATTGATTATGTGAAGTGGACGTTTTCACATATAAATGTTGGAGTACAAATCTTAATCACATGTTTCAATGATAATTGTTTTTATTTTCCCTCTTCCCTTTCTTTTGTGACATACAGACACTATGTTTTCTCTGCATTTGGATGGGGACGTGTTAAGCTATTCCATTGTCAAAAAAGATCTTGATCTTCTTCAAAGCAATATGTTTTTTTAATAATTGTGTTTTCTTAATAAATCACTGTTTGTTCTGTGTCCTAAAGTCCAGGAAAATAACAAAAACAGTGGATGAAATCCTATCAAGCATTGGCAGGCTGCAGGCATCAGCTGGTGTGTCCGTTGCTGAAAAAACCTGTTCAGCTAAAGGCTTCTGGGGAGATGTGTGCCTTGATATTACAATCCCTAATGTACATAGAAATAGGGTGAGAGTGAAACACGTGTACCTCAAACATCAAAAGGTAATGTTCTGTATTTTAAATATTTGTAATGTAACACATTTGTAATTTATTCAGTTCATTTGTATTCATGACTATGTTGACATTTATTTTTTCAACCACCTGTTTTTGCAGTTTATTGAATTATAATTTGAATAGTTAATAATATTATTTATTATTATATTATAATTATCATTGTTATAATTATTACTATTATCATCAATATTATTATTGTTAGTATTGGCATCCGTAATGTCAGCCTTAAGTCAGCTAAGCATGATTTAATGTGTGGTTATGTCTTTAGACGTTTGAAGAGTGTGCTTTACTTAAGATATCATTCATCTTTGGCCTTCTAATTTGCTGAACAAGGGTCTAACAGGAAAAACTCCACCTGACGACGGCAGCCCCTTCAGTCCTCCTCCTCTGTCATTTGACAGCAGCACTTTGGGTCCTCCCCCTCTTCTGGTGGAAAGCAGCACCTTAAGTTCTCCTCCTCCATTTGACAGCAATAACACTCCTCCTCCTCTTCCTCCTCATCCTCCTCCACCACCTCCTCCTCATCCTCCTCCTCCTCTTGTTCCTCCTCCTCCTCCACCTCATCCTCCACCTCCTCCTCCTCCTCTTCCACCTCCACCTCCTCCTCCTCCACCTCCTCATCAAGTGGACAGCAGCACTTTGGGTTCTCCCCCTCTTCCAGTTGACAAAAGTACTTTCACTCATTCTCCTCCTCTAGAGGAGGGCAGCACTTTGAGTCCTCGCCCCACTTCAGATGAACATGGCACCTTCAGTCCTCCTGCTCTTCCTCCAGAGGACCAAAGCACATTCAGTCAATCAGACAATACAAACAATCACACAACCTCTTAAGGTAATGCAGAAGATTCAGATACTTTATTTTTTATCAAGAAATTGCCACAGCAGGCGCGTTTTTTTCATTTCTGCAGAGGACTGGGCATATCAAGAAGACAAGAGACAACACAGACATCAGTTCAAGACATCTCAGTGGACAAATGTCATGTCAAAAGGGATTTGCACAGTTCATCCCTATTGCAGTTTTGCATTTAAACACCACAGTGTCAAACTGATTACGTCGACAAGAGACACCCCACTCTTCACCTGTTTTGGGTACTGTATGTTTGATGACTGTCCTGTATGTGTTGAGGTAAGCAATGTTGACCATCCAGGGAGACTGTGTCAGACACGATCGTGAGGAGTTGAAAAGGAGGCCTGTCTGTGGGAAAGAAAGGGAAGTCATTGCAAAAACATTGACTTCAAAAATCCCCCCGTTCTCTGTACCTGGAAAACCTTAGTGAACTAGATGAGACTGTGGAGGACTCTGGGTGCAGGGATGAAGTACCAACAACGGGTGTCCTGAAAACAATTTCTCGGGGTGCAAGGGAGAAACACCGCAGAGACAAGAATGAAATGATTAGCCTCCAAAAGATCATTGAAGACGAGCTGCAGGAAGGGGGGGGTGTAATCCAAAAGGTGATCCAGTACCCAAAGGGAGTGATGCTGTGGACCATTCAGCTTTTTGCTGGAAGGGCTAAGGAGGACATAGTTTATGTTGATGCAACAGGGAGCATCATTAAAAAGGCAAAGGGTGAAATAGTGGTCAGACATCCTTTGAAAGGTGGGTCGCCAGTCCCAGTGGCCACATTTGTCACATGCGACCACATAACTTCATCTGTGACATTTTTCCTGGGGTCATTCATGACAGACTGCATCAGATGCCATGGAAGGCATATCAAGAAAAGGTGTGTGATGTACATATGTGATGGATCTCTGGTCCTCAAGGATCCCAGAACTTTTGTGGAATGAGTCTTGGAGAACTTCTGTCAATGTACTTTGACATTGTCACTGGAGAAGGACAGAAAGAGGCCTACCACATACCTATTCTACACCGATGCCTCAGCCACATCATGAAAAATGCAAAGGACCTTTGCCGGAAGCAGTAAGTGGTTTGTTTATGTGTATTTCTGTTTGACATGATAAGGTGTTCAAATGTATTTAACTTGAAGTATGTATTTCCTTTTTTCCACAGTGCTTACAAACAGTACCACCTGGCTATGCACGTCTTCGGGCTGATGACACAAGCCACCACGCTCCATGAGCTTGATGACATAGTCCGCAGCACTAATGTGGTGTTCTCGAGCTCATGCAGTGGACAGCAGGTTGAAAAACATTTTCACAACCTGCAAAGACTTCTGACCCCCTGAAATAGATGAGAGAAAAATAGAGGAGGAAAACTTGGTGGTAGGTAATCAATGTTAGAAATGGCGCATAGCATTTTGCTCTGTTACTGAAAATGTATGATGAAAGAAGAAACAACATTTATGAGAGGGAGCTGTTGCTTTTTCTAACAAAGGCCGGTGTCACTATAGTCTCACTAGTGTTCTCAAGTTCTGTGCTGATAAATTCAAGTTTAAAAACAGCTATAAGCTTCCACAGTCAGTTTTAGATTTTTTAATGTTGGCATTGGTTGTGTGATGTTAAGACGTTTAATGGAATAAATATTACTTTTACTTGTTTTATGTTAGTTGAGTCAGTGTGAATGTACATGGTAATAGACAATAATATAATATTGTACAATATTTAGATGGTTATAAGTGAATTTAAGAAAAGAAAATCACACCACAACAAATCTAAAATGCTACATTTTGTCTTCCAGAAGGATGTGGGACCAACACTATTCCAAAGGCACTTTGATCTTGTCATACATGACGGAGTTCTGGACCAAAATGGTGAACCAAATGTGAACCTCTGCCCAACATTTGTGCCTTCACTAGAGAGGTACTTTCTGCCCCACGCTGCTCTTTGGTCTAGTATCATGCTAGGTGATTTTATCCTCTGCATTTTCTGTCCCATATTAGTTTGAATACTTTTCTCATTGATCTGTCACTATTCCTGTCATGGATACTTCATAATGTAATGTATTTTATTTGCTAGGTGACCTTAGCCGCCATGGTAAAGGCCCTCTGTATCTAACAAAAGAACGCAGGTAAAATCAATCAATTCAATTATTAATGTATGACCAGTGTGTTGCTCTTATGTACAGAGAGCACGTATTGAGTTGATAAAATAAGAACAATAAGTTACAATTTGTTTTGAATTTTTAGGTCATAACAGAACTTCAGAAAGGACAACCGTACCCAGGGGATCATGGAAAAGAGCCAGTGGGACCTGAAAAGGGTCCGTTTCCAACGACGCACTTTTACCAGGCTTGATGACTTTGTCCACGCATATCGGCTGACACATAATGCCCTTTTAAAGGAGTACAAGGACTCTCTGCGTTCCATTCAGAGGGTAAACTACAAACATTGATTTCCAAGTATATCTAAAAGGGAAATAATATTTTTCTTATGTACTTATGGCTACAAAATACATATGCTGCATCATAAAATGTATGTCATTAGTCAGCTTAAAGAGTACATATGTATATTAGTGTTAGATGTTACCAAAAAATGTATTTTGAACTATTCATCTGTTCTTTAGCCAGTAATCACAGATCATGATAAACATTGTATGTTAAATGTGGTAGTATTATCTTTTAACACCTACTATTATAACCTTGACAACTTCAATGATGCAGTGTACAGTAATCATACCTACTCTCTCCTGAAAAAAGAAACACAGAGTTGACCTTGAATGCTGGAAGCAGAGGAAGCACAAGCGAAGAGGAGTTTATGTGACCCCTCTTTCAAAGGCATTTGTTTTCAAGAGCCACAAAGCAAAGGTAACTAGAGCCCATCTACTGATGATCACACCAGCTGTGACACCTGTCAACATGTTGACGTTCAAGCCACGAATAGCAATTGTACGCATATCAGGATTTCATATGAAGCCAAAAAGGGCATATAATGCACTTTTGGAGATAACCCATTTCATTATGCAATGTCTTTATATAGTGCAACATGTTTTTCAGTATTTCAATATCCAATCCATAAACCTGTGGTCAACACCATCGTCTTACATTGTGTAAATATAATATATGTAAGTTCATCATTAAATTCATTGTTCACACACAGAGACTACTTCAAAATGAGGAGGATCTGCCACAGTAAAACAGACTGGGGGGACATAAAACTGAAAGGGACTGTCATGCACCACCCAGTCCAACAGGACAGCAGCAGTTGTGGTGTCATAGTCACTATGGTAAGATAAAAAATTGAAGATAAAAATATTTTGAGGACAGCTATCATTTTAAGTCTATACATTTCACTATTGTTATTTGATATACATCACATATTGTGTTATTATTTAGATGACGAAGGCAGTCATGGAGGCCTTTCCACAACCTCCAATAATGAGTTTTAGAACAGCCAAAAAAGAAATGGCAGTGCAGCGAAAACAATTTGCTCTGCAAATACTGAAAGCCTCAGGTGTGTGAAAGCATTTTGTACAGTAATTGTATTGTGTTGATGTAGTGTTCAAGATCTAAAATTTGCATTTCTGTATTAGTGTTTAACACAGAAAACAACTGTGCCATGTGTGCAGCAACTAAACCACCTGCTCTAGGGCCTTCCTTCACCGACTGGGTAAGGATTATGTAACTCTCTCTCTATCAGCAAATTGTAGCATTTTAACTAAATTGGGCATTAAAGAGAGAGATGACAGTAAATGGTAGAGGGGAAGGTGAAGGTAGACTGACAAAAAAGGACTTTTAAAAAAGGCCTCAACCAAGAGTACACGTTTTACTGTTCTACGTGCCAACATAATAATGCATATTCTTTCAGAAAGTAAATGCTGGACCAAATCGGTTGCACTGACGCCAATGCTGCTGACAGTTCTGCCATTGTTTACCTTTTTCTTCTTCTTCCAGTGCGTAGAAATAGCAAAGTCGGGAGCCTTTCCTCAGTAGCGCGAGGTGCCGCCCACCACGTGCAAGTATATATAGTTACGGCGCTCCCGTGACGTCACGTTGTCGCACCACAAGTCCGAAAGCACAAGTATACCGGAGCCTTTACTGTTGTCAATGAACTACAACACTACTGCTTTTGTCCACAGGGGGCGCCACTGAAGGAAAGTTCACAGCACTGTTGCTGTGTGTTGATTCTCAGAATGGGGAAGTGTGGGTAAAGACAGATAAAGACATGAAAAGCAGAAGTGAGTAGAGAGAAATTCTTTTCTCAGAACAGTTTCACACTCATGCTGTGGTTCAGCTGTTAAACTGGTTCTCATGGTCAGATCATAGGTTGATCAATAATCAATAGCATTGCTCCTGCTGCTCTGCTTTGACCAATAAAGGTTGTTCTGGATGAGAATTGGTCCTGTTGCTCTTCCTGTGTGTTCTTTATCAAACAGCTGCAGCAGCTGGAGGCAGTCTGATTTTAATTTGGCCACGCCCACCAGTGATGTCACAGTGTACTGGAGTACACCTGTCCATCACTGCAGTGTTTCTTCATCACCTTTAAACGTCATAGAATCTGTCCTGATAGGAAACTGACAGCCTAGAAATGTTTTTAATGTGTTATTGATCACAGGTGGTCTTCTGTGGCAGAACCGATCAGATCGATCAGAACCTGCTGAAGACCTTTCAGTGTGGATGGCAGCGGTCCAGAGGACCAGAGGCTGGGGTGCAGGACCTGAGGCCAGTGGAGCCAGGGAATCAGACTGCAGCTCAACGGGAACAGGTGTCGGCCGCCGACGAGGAACCGGGAGCACAAGAGGAGGACAACTACAAAATAAAACAGGAAGTAAGACATGAAAACTACAAAGTAAAAGAACAGTAACCTTTCTGACCCTGGGGGGTGTGACGGTCCTTGTTGTACCTGGTTGTGGATGATGTCAGAGCGTTCCTTGTACAGGTGTTGCTGATGTGAGTTGATCTGTTAACAATTGATAATAATAAAGTTCTAGTTTAATGTGAATGTGCTCTAAAAGCTACAGGCAGTCCACAGATGATCCAACAGGATGTAAAGAGTTCTGGTCCTGCTGCTGCTGTATGATCCGCTCCACTTTCTGTGGAGTCCCAGTGGGTCTCTAACCAACCTATCCAGTCACCTGACCTGTGGGCCTTGCTGCTGTGGAGAGGTTGTAGCACTGAGGGTGGAGCTACCTGGTTCAGAGGAGGGCAGCTGGTGACTGAATGAGGAAGTGGTGAAGCTGAAGGCGTCACTCTGCTGCTGACACTGACTGACAGTCCACATCCAGACAACATGAAGGCTTCATCTGTGTCTCTGCTGCTGACACCGACTGACAGTCCACATCCAGACAACATGAAGGCTTCATCTGTGTCTCTGCTGCTGACACTGACTGACAGTCCACATCCAGACAACATGAAGGCTTCATCTGTGTCTCTGCTGCTCGGTGAGTCCAACAGCTTCTACACTCATCCATCATCACAGCTCACACACACTGCACACTCTCAGGATCAGCTCTCATTGATCCAGGATCCATACTGACAGTAATAACCATACACAGGTTCTAACACTCCCATTTATTGATAACAGTACACTGGATCTGTATGGATTATTGATCAGTATACACTGTATCTTTATAGATTAATGATCAGTATACACTGTATCTGTATGGATTATTGATCAGAATACACTGTATATGTATGGATGATATTGATCAGAATACACTGTATCTTTATGGATTATATTGATCAGTATACACTGTATCTTTATGGATTATATTGATCAGTATACACTGTATCTTTATGGATTATATTGATCAGTATACACTGTATCTTTATGGATTATATTGATCAGAATACACTGTATCTTTATGGATTATATTGATCAGTATACACTGTATCTTTATGGATGATATTGATCAGTATACACTGTATCTTTATGGATGATATTGATCAGAATACACTGTATCTTTATGGATGATATTGATCAGTATACACTGTATCTTTATGGATGTTATTGATCAGTATACACTGTATCTTTATGGGTGATATTGATCAGTACACACTGTATCTTTATGGGTGATATTGATCAGTATTAGGGATCGACCGATATGGATTTTTTAGGGCCGATACCGATACGGACTGCCAATTTTCAAGAGCCGATACTATATTTGCTCCCTCAATTTACATCATCACATCAAAATTACACAATGATGATAACAAGGTTGCAGCGAGATTTCATTTTTGTCTCAAATCGTAGGCATCTCTCCTTGATCCGCTAGCTGCCTGCCCCCTGAATACACTGTGAAAAAACCCGGTCTCGGGAGACAACACAGGGCTCGTAAACGTCAAACAAACACTAGGGGCACAGGCTGTGCACCAAAATACAACAAACCAGTTCCAGCCAATCACAGACAAGATGGTTGGGAGAGGGGGAGGAGAGAGAGAGAGAGAGAGAGTTGTGTCTGAGAGTAGCTGCACGACTCAATTAGAAAAAAAACATGGGGGGGAGGGGCGAGCTTGCTTTGTTTTGTTTGGTATTTACTTTGAACGAAAACAGAAGTGACGTCATGCAGGATCGCATAGTGCACCTTTAAGACTGCCATGGTTTCAATTTTTCTACATAAAATAAAATGAGCATGTCTTAGGCTACTATGCCACCTAATGCAAAGACAACACTAGTAGGTCTAAAGGAAAATGTAAAAGAAGCTGCCAGAATGGCAACCCCATAAATTAGCAGAGGAAAATAACGTGATGTCAGATTCGCATTAAGCAACAAACTGTTCAAGTTTCTGTTCTAAAGTGCGTCAACGTTAAAGGAATAAATATTCAACCAAGTATAAAACTGTTTCTCAAAGTTTTCAAAGCTCTCCTTCAGTCGGCGCAGCACTCTCATATATCGCTGTGATGTCCCACTGAGTGAGACACACACACACACACACACACACACACACACACACACACACACTTCAGTTTGGTAGCTGACGCTGACTGAAAAACTGGATTGCTAATGCTAACGTGTGCAAACGGCTCTAAACACTAGTAAGGCCATCACGGTGCACTGTCTGGTACATGATAACACGAGGGAGAGAGAAACACACACACACACACACACACACACACACACGTGTCCAAACCTCCAGCCAGGTGGTCGCTAAATAAAACTGCTACAACACCAGGGAACCACGGAACAATGTCGGCATTACTTCATCCTATGACCAGTGTTCACAACAGCTACCGTATGAATACATACAGCCACAATGGCAAGCAGTTTTATAGACTTGTTTAGCTATAGCACATACAGAGCATGCAGTTGGCATTCGTGTTTCCACTTTCAGTGTATGGCAATATTTCAGCTAAGTTAAACAGTTCAAAGATGCTTTGAAAGTGTTGAAGAGCAGACTTCCAGCACTCTCCTAGTGGGGGAGGGGCTGTGCATGGTCTGTACCTGCACTGCAGCGTCTGCAGCAACACGGAGCTGCCTGTGGACGCCTGTCTGTAAATAATGCTGGATCGGCGAACGCAGCAGCCTGCATCGGCCGATGCCGATACACGTAAAACACGCAAAAATTGGCCGATAATATCGGCCGGCCGATGTATCGGTCAATCACTAATCAGTATACACTGTATCTTTATGGATTATTGATCAGTATACACTGTATCTTTATGGATTATTGATCAGTATACACTGTATCTTTATGGATTATTGATCAGTATACACTGTATCTGTATGGATGATATTGATCAGTATACACTGTATCTTTATGGATGATACTGATCAGTATACACTGTATCTTTATGGGTGATATTGATCCTGTATTGACAGTCAGACTGTGGACATATGACGGCCTTTAGCTCGTGTTTCTAGAGTTACGTGTTGTTACGAACACGTTAGGAATTGTTAAAATGTGATATTTCTTAAAGGGAGTTTGGTGGAATATTATATAATGTTGTTAAACCTGCAGTGTATATTTTAAATGTTTTGCCACCATCACAGAGACACTAACGTATGATAAGGTTATCTGTCATTGATTGCTGTTGGTGATTGATTTAATTAATTCTTTACTAATGTGTGTATTGATTACTGATCAGAATCATTATCAGCAGTTTGCAGTAAGTTGTTGCACTTTGTGAGTGTTTATCTGTCACTGACTGCTGAAAGTACAGAACACAGTGATAACATATTGATATATAATAGATCAATAAACTCAGCTTTATAGTGATCAATCACGACTTAATAATCTTACAGCTCCGCCTTTAACTAACGAGGTACCCATGATTCCTGTCTCATTGTTCATAAAGCTAATGCTAATGCTAATGCTGAGTTCAGCACAGGCTGCAGTAACAGTACACAACAGCAACATCACTGAAGTGAAGTGTCGACTGTTTAGAGGTCAGATCCACATCACAGTGAGGGTTTCTAGAGAACTCCTTCTATGTGACCTACGCAGAGAACAGTGGTTCTGAGTTTGACAGCAACAGATTGATCAACAGAACATAACCACTGTCACACACACCAATGCTCCATTAGAGTCTGCAGCTGGATGTACATTACAGTGTGAGAGGATCCACAGCTCAAAGTGGTCCTGATGGTCACAGCAGCAGTTTACATGGTAGCCATCAGTGTGTGGATGAGATACAGAGCTACACACACTACAGAGGGCTCACATTGACACCACTGTTTTATCAGCGTTAGACATCAACTGTCACTCTGTCTGCTTTAGTTTGGGAACATTTGACAGAAGGTGAAGTCACTTTCACACTGTGATCATGTGACAGTTTGCTGGAGGCAGTAGGTAGCAGTGTAGAGGCGCACAGATCCAACTCAAAGAGTCCTTGTAAAGATGAGTTGGTTGATTGTGTGCAGCTCTACAACAGACTCCTGCTAGCATCAGCTGTGTAGTGCAGTGTGTGCTAACATTGTAATGCACACATTGACTGTCAGTGTTCACAGACGGTTCAAAGTAGATTGTGAGTGTGAAATGACAAAGACTGCTGGTTGTTTTGGGGCCTGTACATGTGATCAGAGGTGTTTTCAGCAGCACTGCATTGAAGTGTCCTTTCACACAGGAAAGCTCCGCTGCTGAAACAACAGATAGATTGTGATCTTATCTGAGTTTCATGTGTCACTGCTTCTCTAACTGTGATATTTCCATGGTTATTAATGTCCACACTGAGTTTCCCTAAAGCTGATGAAGCCTGCTGAATACTGCAGACACCAGTTCCAGTCAGGTTTCCCTCCAACTGCTGTTGATTATTGCTGCTGATATTTCAGCTTTAGAGCGGGACTCAAACAGGACTTGAACCCATCACACAATAAAAGCACATATATTACAGTTACAGTACACGTTGTAGTCTCCAGTCCTCTCACACAGAACTACATGTTCTAATGAAATCTCATCTGGAGCCTCACTTAGAGAACGGACTGAAGATCACTTCTGATCACTTTTAGTTTGACTTCCACAGAAAACCATGAGTCAGCAGTTTCCTTCCTTTGACCAGGAAATGATCTTTTCTCTCATCAAACTGTGGACGTCAGTGGTTTCCCTGCTGGTTGTGTCGGGGTACTGCAGGTTGAGCCCAGGCCTGTGGTGAACTTACTAGCATTAGCTTTATGCTACGACACACTCCCGAGCTACGTGTTTCTGTGACAACCAACTATTTAGTCCATGAATAAAACGTGTTGTCTTCAGTGTCCTCGACCATCTCTGTGATCTCCTCTGTTGGTCCAAGGCTCTTCCTTCCTGCCCCTCAGCTGTGCTAGCATTATATAGGATATAATATAGATTGTAACTCTACAGTTATAGATCAGTGTGTCAGTTACCAACGGGCTTTTTAGAGCCTGTGTAAGTCAGGTTGATTATCTCAGTATCTTGGCCTCCACTCTCTCTGTTCTTTGGTTCTCCTGATGAGTTCTCCATATAAGGACCCACCCAGACCGTTAGTGTGGACTGGAGATGGCCAAAGAGAGCCAGCTTCACTTTCCCTAACAGTGTTTTTAAGGTGGATTTAAACCCCAGAATGTGAAGAGTAAAGTCAAATGAAATAAAGGAACCATCACCTTCAGTCTGACCTTCAGTCTGACCTTCAGTGACCTTTAGTGACCTTTGACCTTCAGTCTGTCCTTCAGTGACCCTGTCCTCCTGTTGCAGGTGTGTCTGTGCTGCTGCTGTCTGCACTGACTGTTTCTGCAGGTGAGCTGATGGAAGTGAAACAATCACTGACATTAAATCATAATAATAATAATAATAATAAAATACATTTAGTCTCTCTGTCTGTCTGTCTAACTGACTGTCTCTCTCTCTGTCTGTCTGTCCTCCAGTCTCTCTGGAGGTCAGTCCCAACCGTCCTCAGTTCTTTAGAGAAGAGTCAGTCTGTCTGAAATGTGTTGGAGATGGACATACAGCTGATGGATGGACGGTGAAGAGGACAGCAGGGGGACACAATGAGGACTTTGGGAGGTTTGATGGTTCCTGTTACATCATCTCAAAGCTCTCCCAGTCAGACACTGGAGTTTACTGGTGTGGAACCAGTTCTGGACAGAAGAGCAACCAGATCAACATCACTGTAACCAATTATAGAGGCAAGTTGTTCTTCTGTTCACTAACTCTGTCTGTATATGGCTCTGGTCTGATGGTCTAACTCTGTCTGTATATGGCTCTGGTCTGAAGGTCTAACTCTGTCTGTATATGGCTCTGGTCCGATGGTCTAACTCTGTCCGTATATGGCTCTGGTCTGATGGTCTAACTCTGTCTGTATATGGCTCTGGTCTGATGGTCTAACTCTGTCCGTATATGGCTCTGGTCTGATGGACTAACTCTGTCCGTATATGGCTCTGGTCTGATGGTCTAACTCTGTCCGTATATGGCTCTGGTCCGATGGACTAACTCTGTCTGTATATGGCTCTGGTCCGATGGTCTAACTCTGTCTGTATATGGCTCTGGTCCGATGGTCTAACTCTGTCTGTATATGGCTCTGGTCTGAAGGTCTAACTCTGTCTGTATATGGCTCTGGTCTGATGGTCTAACTCTGTCTCTATATGGCTCTGGTCTGATGGACTAACTCTGTCTGTATATGGCTCTGGTTTGATGGTCTAACTCTGGCGTTGTTTCTTCTTCAGGGGTTATTTTGGAGCTTCCTGCTCTTCCTGTGATGACAGGAAGTGATGTCACTCTGCGCTGTAGAAAGAGAGGTGTCTCCACATTCGAAGCCTTTTTCTTCAAGAATGGAGTCCACATTGGATCTGGACCTGAAGGACAGTTTACCATCAGTAAGGTCCAACAGTCTGATGAAGGTCTCTACTGGTGTTTTATTGAACGGACTGTTGAGTCTCCTCGGAGCTGGCTGAGGGTCAGAGGTCAGGACACTGACATCACTTCCTGTTTAAAGATATGAACTAACCTGCTGACCTGATAATAAACTGATGACTGAACTGAACCAGGTTCTACTCTTTTCTCCTACAGGTCCTCCTGCTTTAACTACTCTTCCTCTTCCTCCTCCTCCTCCTGTAGCCTCCTCCTCCTCCTCCTCCTGCAGACTCCTCCCCTCCCTTCTCTCTCCTCCTCCCAGTTGGAGCAGCTGTAGGTTCTCTGGTTCTGGTTCTGGTTCTGGTTGGAGTTGTGTGGCTCTGCAGGAATCAATCAGGTATGAAAGCTGTCAGACTCACCTGATATGAACAGACTGGAACCAGACTGGGTCTGATCCAGTCAGCAGGTCTGTAGTGGACTACAACCTGTGACTGGTCCTCAGGACTCCTGGAAACTCGTCTGATCTCTGATCTCTGTTTCCAATATACTGATTGATCGGTTTGTTTTCTGCTGATCCAGATACTGTCCAATCTGCTCAGAGGAAACACGCTGCAGGTAAACACACACATTTTATACACCTGGACCAGGTTCCAGCAGATGGTCTTTACTGAGCCTGGTCCTCACTGTTTATTACCCACCAACCATCTTAGCGATGTGTCCATGTGACTGTAGCTGTTGCCTAGCAGCATGTGTTGCTAGGATACATTCTTACAATCTCTTTCTTGTTATTATTATATAAACTCAATGTCCCCTTAAGGTCTTCCAGAGCTTTCAACCTCCTCTCATGGTCTTTATCAGCCGATGGAGGTGGTTATGGAGAACCTTCAGGTGGGACCATGTACAGACCCTCAGTACCATGATAACGGGGTTGTATATTAGCAAGATACCTGTAGGTCACATGATGACACCTGAACTCCATTTACTGATGAAGACCATGTTTATATGTTTGAAGTTAACCTGCTGACCTTTGACCTTCAGTTAACATTGTTCTCCTTTTGTAGGTCTGACTGTGCTGACTGCTGCAGGTGAGCTAATGGACGTCTGTCTGTCTACTGACCTCTGACCTGTACTGACCTCTGTCCTTTACTGACCTCTGTCCTTTAATGACCTCTGACCTTTACTGACCTCTGACCTTTACTGACCTCTGTCCTCCTGTTTCAGGTGTGGCTGTGCTGCTGTATGGACTGACTGTTTCTGCAGGTGAGCTGACGGAAGTTAATTGTTTAAACTTTATTTACAAAGAACAAGTTGAATAGCAGCAGAATAAATCAGTGAACACAGGAGAAGAAAGAAAGAGACAGGGTTCATAAATAGCTTGTGTTGACATATACACAATGTACTTACATATAAAACTTAAAAGTATAAGCAGTTTTTCCTTGCCCTTGTCTCCAAGGTCTTGCTCATGGTGGTACTGTTGGGTCTCTGTAATTAAAGTTATAAAGAGTTCGGTCTAGACCTGCTCTATTATACAAATAAAACTGAATTGAATTGAATATAGAAATACAAACCTGTAGCATAATCATATCAAAAGAAGATTCAATTCAATTAAATTTTATTTGTATAGCACCAATTCATAACAGAAGTTATCTCAGGACACTTTTCAAATAAAGCAGGTCTAGACCGAACTCTTTAAAACATTAGATGATGAACTGAGATAAAACAATAACCATTCAATGTCTTATTGAAGGTCATTATAAATATGATACCACACTGAATGACATTTACATGTGTTGATATAAAAAAATTTAAAAAAAGGCGGACGTCGCAGATCGTGGCTCAGTAGCTCCTGGCTTTAAGTGCCGGCCCTCGAGAGAAACCTTTGATTTATAAGACCATTGACAGCCAAGTTATTGTCGAGGATGAGTTCCTTAATTTCCTTACGGTTAAAATATAAACAATGACCCTGGACAAACTCGTCCTTGTAGCCTCAAACACATTCAACTCTGAGTGGCTTGAGTCCTCCAAAAAGGTGCTGTTTGAACTTTGTCCTGATACCAAACAACGGTGCGTGGGCTTTAAAGGCACCCAGAAGGACGCTAACAATATCAAAAGCTGTTTAAATGTGCTGAACGAGTGTGGAGACAAAATCCCCCGGTTCGTCTCCCACTACCTGGACGAGCTGCCACCGGTGACATTTAATAACCTGGATGTCTCAAGCCTGCTCAGCAAGATGGAGCGGCTGCACAGTGAGATCTCCCCGTAAGGCATGCAGTTAAACTTCAGGCAGATGTCGGCAAGAACCTGTGTTCTGTGACTGCGACCATAGGCTCCAGAGTTGATGCTGTTGAACGCCGGCTGGAACCGAGCAATGGGGGCGGACCAGCTATCTCGGCTGGGGAGAATAGCGAGGAACTGGCTAAGAAGCTGGCTAATGGGAGTGTCCCTGGCTCTCCTGCGGATCCCACCTGTGTCCGAGCTCCTGCATCACCTCGCACGAAGTTGACCCCGGGCGATGTGAGCGTCTGTGCCGAGGCAGGTGCAGGGAGTGGGACTACGCGTGTATGCCCGACTCCTGGAGGGATTGCAGATAATTCGCCGAAATGGAGCCGTGTGGTGAAAAAGGGCCGGGTCAGAACGCCTTGCGTGCTGGAAAACCTGAACGGAGGGTATCTAAGCCTATTGTCGGTACTGGTGCGCAAGGGAATATAAGAGTGATTCGAACGAAATTGGTAAGTGTTTTTGCCACCAAATTTTCACCGGACCTTGATGCAGAGTCTGAATACTTGAGTGGTCAACTTGGCCGCAGCATCAACTGTCAACGCACTGTCACTGCGGGCAACAGATACAGCTCGTTTAAAGTGTCTGCAGAGTGCAATGAAGTTGAGGAAATGTACAACCCAGAACTCTGGCCAGAAGGCTCTGTTGTGAGGCGATATTATGAACCACGCAAATCGGACGGGTTGGGGGCTAGCACAACTAGGCCTCTCTCTGATTCACTAAGTGCAAGAGTACCGATTGGGGTTGCGGCCACACATTCCAAGTAAACTTTAAGCGGGTTGGATCATATAACTGTCGTGGGCTACGCCTGGGCAACAACGCAGGAGACAAAGCCCAACGTACTGTAGTTGACAACCTGCTGCATAGTTGTGACATTTTATGTCTGCAAGAAACGTTTTTATCTAAACAGGATCTAAGAAAATTTAACTCTTTTAGTGACAATTTCCATGGGGCTGGTGAGTCAACTACTGACCTATCAATGGGAATAGTTAGAGGAAGAATAGCAGGGGGCGTGGCCATCTTTTGGCACAAAAAGCTGGACTCACAGATAAATGTCTTTAGGCTTGAAGCTGACTGGTGTATTCCTGTACAGATAAGAATGAATAACAAAGAGTTTACCATCCTCAATGTGTACACACCGTATGAGTCACAACAAAATGAAGATGAATACTTGAATAGACTTGCCTTTATAAATTCTTTTATTTCTGACAATCTGTCCACAAGTGTATATGTAGTGGGTGACATGAATGCTGACCTGTCAGACAAAGGTTCGTTGTTTGCCAAGCACATGCTGCAGTTTTGTGATGATAATAATCTTGTACTATCTAGCCAAAAGCTCCTACCTGCATAAAGCTACTCTTACATAAGTGAGGCCTGGCATTCTACATCATGGCTTTACCACTGCATCAGCACTGCTGATGCTGATACTAGTTTAAGATCAATGGAGATTGTTTATGAGGCATCCATGTCTGACCATGTCCCTTTTGTTATGGTACTAGTCTCCCGGAAATATCACAAGAAGTTAATAGTGATTGTAAGGCTAAGCTGGATTGGTCTAAGCTCACGAATGAAGATGTGATGTTATACTATGGTAGAACTGATGGTCTTTTAAGGGATGTATTTCTACCCAGAGATACAATTTTGTGCTCTGATGTGAATTGTAATGATAGTTGTAGCACCGGTATCACACCACTTACTGCGCCACTGGACCAGTTCTAGGTTCTAAGGAGTGGGAGCAAAAAGTAATTACACCAGAGACCGTTGCTTTAAATACAAAAGGCCGGCAATTTACTGAATGCAAAACACACATATAAAATACAGTACACAAACAAAAATACTCTGCAGGTTCTTAATACTGAGGTAAGTATAGTAAATGAAAAGGTATTTCACTCTCTTATTGTTCTTTAGTTCACCTAAGTTATTTTAGTCAAGCTCATCTAAGTTAAGTTAGACCAGTCTCTTTTTCCTAGGTTGCACCTATTTTAGAATTCCTATTTTTCTTCCTGAGTTAACTCTTTTCTCTCTTTTACAAGTAAGAGAATACCTTCAATTACACAATCAAATCAAAGTGGACCACAATCATTTCAAATCACATTCAAAAATATGAACTCAACATGAAAATAAAAGTATGACACCTTAAATTCAAGTTCAAGTCGAAATGTGAGTTCAATTATTCAGTTCAATGAAAAGTTTCAGTTCGAAAACAAAAATTCAATCAGCTCTCAGTTCAGTTCAAAACCAATTCCTCATACTCCTACCACTCTGGCACATGTCACCATACGCAGAAGATTTCCTCACTGATGCGATGGAGAAGATGAGTTGAAGGTCTGGGTCTGGCTCGCCATCTTGAATCCCGTCTGTGGCTGCGTTTCATTAGTCGTTCACTTGCCCTCGTCCACTTGCCCTCGTCCACTTGCCCTCGTCCACTTGCCCTCGGGGGAATCCCTGTCGCCATCTAAGTGTCGTTCCAATTGTCTGTAAACTGAAGTGAACTTGGTGAGATGGACCCTCGGAGGGCTGAGGGAGCGAGTGAACAACGATGGTCACTCCGAGGTGGATATCACCCACAATGCATTGCAGTTTACGTCATTGCCGCTATAACGCCGACCGCTGCCAATGAGTAGACTCCAAGGCCAAGTGCGTTTCATTTAAATCCCCCGCCCACTTTCCCTCTGCAGCTCTTCTTGCAATCTGCTTTACAGGCTTTATGACTCATGGTCTATTACCGTACTCCATGTTGTCTGTTACCTTGGTGCCTGTCATCAAGGACAAAGCAGGCAAGGTGGGGAGCTTGGATAACTATAGACCAATTGCTTTAGCCAGTGTGTTATCCAAAGTCCTGGAAAGAATTTTATTAGATAGACTAAGTTTTTATATTGATACCACAGACAACCAGTTCGGCTTCAATGCTAAGCATGGTACTGATCTATGTATCTATGCCCTGAAGGAAGTGGTTGAAATGTATAGAAGACAGAATTCTTCAGTTTTAATTTACTTTATTGATGCATCAAAGGCTTTTGACAGAGTCAATCATTTGAAGTTGTTCTCAAAGCTCAGCCAAAGAGGTGTGCCCAATAGCATAATTAGGATCCGGGCATATTGGTATGCTAACCAGAGCATGCAGGTCAAGTGGGGGAATGCAGTCTCTACACCATTTGGCGTGGGTAATGGGGTTCGTCACGGGGGGTTACTCTCACCTGCCCTTTTTAATATTTATATAAATGATTTATCTGACCAACTAAGAGCCAGTAAAACAGGATACATGGTTGGCAACACCCTGGTAAACCACCTTATGTATGCTGATGATTTAGCTATCTTTTCTCCTAGCAGTGCTGGGTTTCAAGAGATGCTGAACATATGTACTGAGTATGGTGTCACATTTGATGTTAAATACAATAGCAAAAGAGTGTTGTTTTGATATGTAAAACAAAAGGAGATAAGGATTAAACTTTCCATCTTTTTTACCTGGCAGGGCAAGTTTTAACTGTAGGTAATAAAACTAAATATTTAGGACACATCATCACAGATCAAATGTGTGATGATGATGACATTTATAGGCAGTGCCGCATGTTATATGCACAAGCTAACATGCTGGTTAGGAAATTCCACTGGTGCTCAGATAAAGTTAAGATAAGCTTGTTTAAAGCAAACTGTACTCCTCTGTATATTGCCCCCTTATGGACCAAGTTTATAAAGTCTAGCATCCAGAAGCTCCAGATTGCCTATAATGATGGTTTGCGTATACTGCTTAAAAAACCCAGGTGGAGCAGTGCAAGTGAACTATTTTGTAGGGTAGGAGTCAACACATTCCATGCACTGTTGAGAAACCTAATGCACAAATTTATTTGCAGATTGAATGGTTCATGTAACCTCATCATTATGCTGCTGTCAAGCCCTGGTCTTAGTACTGTGCGATACCAGTCATCCATGTGGAAACACTGGTATCATTGCCTTTTTTAATTGTCCTGTTGTTGTTTGTGTATGTGCTGTTGTTTGTATTGGTATGTGTATTTATTGGACCATGAGTCTGGAAATAAAAGTTGCTAAAAGTTGATATCTGTGTAAAATGAAGATAAAATAATTGTCGGGCTTTACGACGTAGGGTGTTAGAGTGATCTAACTGTAATAGTTTAATCAATTAATGGTTATCAAAAATTATAATTATCAAAAGATAATAAAAAATGACTTTAATTAATATTAAAGTTCCTTGGGGCACCACCCTTAAATAAGGGAACGATAACCAATAATCGATTGATCAGTCTCATAAAATTACACTAAACTATTAATTCAGAAATCAGATTAATAATTACAACCAGAATCATTAACAATAGCTAGAGTGGGAGCTTTGGAGTTCTACATAGAAGAGGTTGGTATCACTCACTCTTGTACGAAATTAAATAGGCCAGCATATGTAAACACAAACATTTGTTAACCAGATATAATAAAAGTAAACAAAGGAAAAATACACAATATACAATGGATTTTGGTCAGATTGGTTATTTTTGGTTGAAGTTGAAAAATCTATGTTAATTCAATGTTTAATTATAGTTACCATTTCAACGTTTGAAAACCTGTTATTGAATCAATGTAATATAGATGATGATTTTTCAATGTTGAAATGCCCTACAATGAATCCACATCGTTTCAATGGCGTTGATGGGGTGCGGGGAGGAGAGGGGGGAACAGGGGCTCATGAGACCAACGAGATCTCACAAGACCAGCGAGATCTCACGGGACTTCAGCTCAAACTGTAGCGGGAATTTGAGCACAGAACAGCAGATAAACTTCGTCCTTCTGTGTGTGAGACAAACTGGTAAGTCCTTATGGAATATAATTTATTGCCCCATTCAGATACCATCACCTGACTGTCATCGTTATCTGTGTATATAAAAGTATTATTAGCATTTTTAATAGTTACATAATCAATGTTGTAACCAGCACCACGGTGAAGCAGTTCGTTTATTTATAATGGTGAACTAAGAAAACTAGTGGGATGGAGCTAATCGCTAGATAGTGTATATAGACTGGATCAATTGGCTTTGCATGTAGTAGTTCCAGTGTAACGTTAGAGTGAATAACGTTACAGAAACTTTTACTACAGTGAGGCATGTTGTGGGGGGATTTAGCCTGGGGAAATGGTGAAAACAACAAGCCTTTACTGAACAGGGCTACCTGTAGTGTAGCTATAGTAGAGCTGAACATTGCAACTGGAAAGGACACAGGGGGAATTATTGTTCTGTCTTTTTCTCTTTCTTGTTAAGTTAAGATCTTTTAAAATATTTTGTAAGAGCCTGAGTAATAAAATAATTATTATAATATATATATAATATTTTTATTGTTAGTTATTGCCATGTATAATTCTACTTATTTGTTAATACAGTGCTGCCAGAATCCAACCAGTACCCCTCTCTACCAACCCCAGATGCAAGCAGTGGTATGTCATTTCTTATTACAATGGCAGAAACAAAATGTAATTGCATGTGAGCTTTAATTTACAAGCATTTAATTCCTCTGTCAATACATGCAAACATATCAGTCATGTGATATGTGTTGAAGGTTACAGCTCTATTCCTGTCTTGTGCTCCCTTCTTTTAGCCTCTGGAGGAAGCTACTCGGAGGATGTTCAGTCATTTGACCAGCCTAATAATGGAAAGTCAACCACTTCACATTACTACCTCAGGGTGGACAGATTTTAAATGTGCTTTGTCTGAGTTATAGCAATCATAGTTTATGTTTTGTGTTCTCTCATTTAGGTTTTTGTGGAAACTTCTTGGCAGAGCTAGAGTCAACAGACCTCTTTCCGTGACCCCAGCAACTAGCCGGAACTACTTTCTGCAACACCGAAACCGGGCCAGAACTCCGCTCACGGGACGCAGTGGGGGAAAAGTCACTGCTGATGCCCGACACTGATGGTGAGGATGTCATACGACCTCATGTCAAAAAATCCGAACTATCCCTTTAAATGCAATACTCTGTCCATTTGATTTAGCAAACTAACCATTTTCTCTCTAATCTGTTAAGATTACCCGCTCTGCATTAGTTGGAGGGACCAGGCTGAAAATATGATCCGATGAGAGGAGTGGCGGGGTACCAAGAAAAGAAAAAGCTAAGAGTTAGAAGGACAAATGAGTTGAATCTTTAAAGCTACTATGCTATTATTGTCAGTTAATGTTGAACTGGGGTCCTATTTATAATGTTTGTGTCCCCTGGAGTTTCAGGGCAAAGGTAGCCAGATAATTTATTAAGATGTTTGTTCATGTTGAACTGTGGTCCTATTTCTGAATGACATTTGCCATTTTTGTGTCCCCTGGAGTTTCAGGGCAAATAGATAATTCTCCACCTAAGCCAGGCAGGAAACCTTACAAGATGAAAAGTACAACAGTGTAATTGCTTTTGAATATTTAATAACTAACTTATTGAATAATGCTCTGTTTTGTTGGGGTTTTTTTTGTTCATAGAGAATGCAGTAAAGCAGCTTTTCTCAACCTTGGTTTCTTAAAAATAATTGAAATAGCCAATCTAATGGGGTTTTTAATGAGGCATATTAAAAACATAGAAAGGAAGGTTGAAAAGTGTTGAAATGGCCCTTTAATAATAACCTTGTTTCACAGTATAATGCAATGCATATATATAGTTGAATCAATGTTTATTCATTGTCAGAATTGATTGGATTTTGACGTTATTTCAATCATAGCGAGCACTTTCAATGTATATTTCAATATCTGACATCAATGTTGATTACAACCTTCAGCCTGACAAAATCTCAATGTTGATTCAATCACGTTTTGCTATTCCAACATGTTCCTTTGTGTTTCAGTTAAACACTTCAAATGAACAAGTTCGTGTTTAAAGGTATCCTTGGATCCCAACATAATGAATCAGTCTGGATGATGGTAGTTTGGTGATTCTACCAATCAATAGTGCAGTAATTCTGGGTTCATATTTACAATTTAAAGAATCATCACATCATTGTGTCATCTGCGAACAGATTTTTCATCACGTCTTTATATTATATAGAGCTGTCAATAAAATCAGAACAGTTTGAATTAAATCTGCAAAAACTCTAAAGCTAAAGTTTAAGATGCACTTTGACCTACCATAATCGTAATATCAGGTCAGTGGGTGTTTTGGGTCTCTCAACGTCAAACCTTCACCCAGGTGTCCCAGGAAGGTTTGATCAGCTGTTCATAGTTGTTCATTGTGTTGAAGACCATAGACTCTTTCCAATCCCCTTAATGACTGTTCCTTGATCATGACCCAGGAACCAATCTGGTCCACCATCACAAAGGAAAACCTCTTATTTCTGCTCGAGGAGAGAGGAAGCTTTCTAATTTCTAATTATTAATGTTTATTTTCATAGCAATGAATATATATGGAAAAGTCTCCATTTCCTGGTGAATCCACACATTATGGTTTGATCTGTCAAATACACAATACATGCAGAGATATAATATTTCATACTCTGTGCTGTCATGTGGCAGAGGTTCTCCATGTATTTCAGCAGTGAGCAGTAAAGATTGTGGCTGACCCCCCCACCCCGGACACAAACCTCTTCCAGCAGAAGGCTGCAGTCCATCAGGACCAAACCCTCACAGCACAAGAAGACTCAATGTGTTCTATTAAAGCACATTTGCTGTCTCACATGTTCTTCACACTGTGAACATTTCCATCCTCTTTGCCTCAAACACTGTACAGCTCTTTTAAAACTTTATGTTTATTGTACATTTCTGTTTTATATGTGTGGTATCCGAAGGCCTATAAATTTAAGTTACAGTTTGTTATAAGTTCAAGTGATATTTTTGTCAACATATGCAGTGTTAGTAAGACATGAGGTTCAACGTCGTAATTCTTACTATGAAATGTTTAGGTTAGGAGCCCCTTCGAAGCCCCTTGAACCTTTACCTTCTGACGTAAATATTTCAGTACATCTGATAGCCAAACCAGATGTTTCTTTACTATTTTGTTGAATAAACAATATACCTATATAAAGCCTATGTTCGACGCATATAGACAGAGTTGTTCATTTGGCTGGATGCTCTCCAAGCTCCCGCGGTGCTTGTATTGATGCTGAACTTTTTGTAATAAACCTTTATATACAATCAAGACGGTGTCAGCGGATTTCTCTTCAACACATCTTCACATCATCGCTACTTAATATACCACATATGTATTATTGTTGACTGTTGCAGTGTTTATTGCTCCTCACCAGAATACCAACACAGATTCCTCCACAATAAACTGATTGTTGTTCTCCTCCCTCAGACTCCTCTCTGCCTGTGCTCAGACTCTTCTGCCATCTAGTGGTCGTCTGTCCGTACTGCGTCTGTACTGCTCTGATGGCGTCCATCTGCTGCAGCAGGAAGACGGGAAACAAAGAGGTAGTCTCCATGGAGATGACCCAGCGTGTCAGAGGTGGTCACAGATTGGATGAAGAGTACGATGATGTCACTGCTGACGTCACCACTGAGTATAAGTTCTGAGCTGTGAGCGCAGTGACAGCAGCTGATGTAACATGGACTCTGATCAATAACATGATGGATCTGAAGTCAGCTCCTGATCAGTCTCAGTCACTGATCATCATCATCTTTTTATTCATTGTCTTTATTTTCACTGCTCAGAAACATTGATATGATACGATGTGACCACACTCAGATTTATTCTGGAAACAAAGAGTTAACTGAACTATTGATTATCTTGTAGCTGTACACTCAGTGATCACTTTATTAGGTCCACCTGTACAGGTGTACAACTCTGTAATGTTCAGTGTTAATGCTGTTTTATCATTGAGCTCACAGTCAGTGACGCTGTTGTACTGGACCGCATTATATTCAGAGGGTTCCTAATATTGGGACCAGCTGTATGTAAAGAGGAGCTCTCAGCAGACTGTAGCTCAGTAATAAACACAACAACAAAAAGTGAACAGTATAAAGTGGTATCACTGATGGCATTAGACTGTACAGGTGGACCTAATACAGTGAGCACTGAGGACATCCTGGTGCCTTACATACAGTATGTACCTGTGCTTCAGTCCTGATGTTCTCTTATCTGTGCCCTTCTCATTAGTTGTTGATAGATTTCTGAACTCTTTCAATCTCTTGTTTCTCTTCATCAATAAAGAGTGAAAGTGAACTTCAGTTGGTGATTCTTTCAGCTCAAACAAACATTTCTACTGTTTCAAATTTATTGTCTCTCTTCATGTCCTCAACTGTGTCAACCTTTATTTTGGAAGGGCTCCATAAATATACTATTGATTATTGATCGATTCCAGTGTCGTAAAGTTGGACTGTGTTGTGTTTCCACCTTCTGACCCATAAATAAAATCTGAACCCCCAGAAGGTCTGTGGAACGACTACGATCACCTGCAGACCACCAGGAGGATGTCGGTACAGTCAGGTAGCAGTAGTAGAATCAGAATCAGAATCAGAATCGGGTTTATTCCCAAGTTAGTTTTTACTCATACAAGGAATTTGCCTTGGTGTATTGGTGCATAAAAACCACACAAAAAATTAAGTACTTTTTAAACTATAAATAAATAAAGATAAGGAAAAAGATAGAAAGATCTAAACTGTATGTAGCAGCATAGAAATAGGGTTGCCTTGCTGCAGCCAATTGCGTCAGCTGACCACTAGGGCGGCAGTACATAAGTACGGCCCTCCTTCTCGCGCTCTCACTGATGCATCATTTCCAGGTCAGGTGTTTGCCCGTGAAGAGCAGCGACCGCGTGCTCCGTGCTCCGTTTAGTCGCTGGCTCTTTAGAGCAGTAAGTGTCCTCTCTCTCTGTGTTACACTGAATGCTATCCTGTAGCTAATGCTAGTGTGGTCACAGGTAGATGTCCGCTGCCGTGTGGGTTTCTCTCTCCCTCTCTCTCCCTCCCTCTCCCTCTCTCTCCCTGTGCAGGTTTGACTTTGAAAACAGGTATGCTACCTTAAATCTGGCCCCCAAAATCTTTGATAAATGTAGCTTAGCCATACTAATTTTATGTTTATTGACAGGGAACGCTCATCAGCTGGCCGAAATCTACAGGTGGCGATTTATGTGACTCCCCCACCAGCTGATTGGGGCCACTGCTGCTTTGTACACTGCTTTGTCTACAGCTTTGTCTGCTGCTAATTACAGTTTGTCTCTGCTGCTATATACGACGTTGTCTCCGGCAGCCACTTATTCCTTGCTGCTCTGTGCTGCTTGGTGGTGGTGCTGTTGTTGGCTTTTGGCTACAGCCGGCTACCATAGTGGACTGCCGACACCACACTTTTAACCTGTTTATCCCTTTAATATTAGCCGAATGATTGTGAGGAGTTAATCCCTTAGTTTAGTATTACTTGTTTTGTTTTCTTTACTTTATTGTTTTGATTAAGTAAATTGATTTGTTAAGTTTATTTTGTGAATTATTTCTTGCTTTACGTTGTATATTGTTTCGTACATTTCGGGTTAATTATTTCCGTTGTAAACTTCTTTTTTTGTTTTCTTCTCAGTGGCTGCAGGCTGGTGGTGGTGCTGGTGATGTGGGTGGTGGTGTCCCTCCTTCTTGTGTGCTGTGCTTCCTTGGATTTGGTGATACCACAGTGTGTGACTGCCACGTGTGTCTGGGTGAACCCTTTTCCTTTAATTTAGTGTTGTTGAGTCCCCTTCCTCTTCACCTGCTCTTTCCCCACCAGTAGACCTCAGCCCCTGATTAGATTCCTTGTTTATTATTTGGGAGGAATGCAAATTTTTGTGATAATATATATATTTTATTAAATAAAGTATTTTTGTAAGTGGGAACCACGTGTCTTGCCTGTCGAGTGGAACGAACCTGTGTTTTTGATCAATGTAAAATAATATATAATAATAATTCCTTGGGTTAGGGTTAGGGTTAATTCCCAAGGTGGCGTTGTCGAGCAACCTAAGATTCATATTGAGAGCCTCCCCGCCGCCACATGTACATGAAAGATATTTACAATGTGCAGGATAGAGAAACCAACAGGGGTGCATTAATCTAATGCATATATACAGGGTGGGCATAAGAGTCAGTGTCAGTGGGGGTCTCGGGCCTTGTTAATTCAATTTTATTTGTATAGCGCCAATTCATAACAGAAGTTATCTCAGGACACTTTTCAAATAGAGCAGGTCTAGACCAAACTCTTTATAACATTATTTACAGAAACCCAACAGTACCACCATGAGCAAGCACTTGGCGACAAGGGCAAGGAAAAACTGCCTGTTAAAAGGCAAAAACCTAGGACAGATCCTCCGGCTCTAGGTGGGTGGTCGTCTGTCTCGACCAGTTGGAGAGAGGGAGAGGGAGGGAGGGAGGGAGAGGGAGGGGGGGAGAGGGAGAGGGAGATGCACAGCAACAACAGTATTGGCAATGGCAATCTGGCAGGACGCTCCACCAGGATCGATAAGAACCTGCGAGACGAGAAAGCACAAGAACTCCGGGGAAGAAGTGAAGTTAGTAACATGCATTAATGGGACATGAAAGAGAGAGGAGCTCAGTGCACCATGGGAAATCCCCCGATAGTCTAGGCCTATAGCAGCATAACTAAGGGATGGTTCAGGACTCACCTGATCCAGCCCTAACTATAAGCTTTATCAAAGAGGAATGTCTTAAGCCTACTCTTGAATGAGGTTAGTGTGTCTGCCTCCCGAACCACAACTGGAAGCTGGTTCCACAGGAGAGGAGCTTGGTAACTGAAGGCTCTGGCTCCTGTTCTACTTTTAGAGACTATAGGAACCACAAGTAGCCCAGCATTCAGAGAACGTAGTGTTCTAGAGGGGTAATAGGGTACTATGAGTTCTTTAAGATATGAAGGGGCCTGACCATGAAGAGCTTTATAGGTGAGGAGGAGGATTTTAAATTCTATTCTACATTTTACAGGGAGCCAATGCAGAGAAGCTAGTACAGGAGAGATGTGATCTCTTTTCCTAGTTCCTGTCAGTACTCGTGCTGCAGCGTTCTGAATTAATTGGAGCGTTTTAATGGACTTATTGGGGCAACCTGATAATAAAGAGTTGCAGTAATCTAGCCTTGAAGTAACAAATGCATGGATTAGTTTTTCTGCATCTGTCTGTGACAGGATGTGTCTAATTTTTGTAATATTACGTAAATGAAAGAAGGCGGTCCTAGAGGTCTGCTTCATGTCGGAATTAAATGACAAATCCTGATCAAAGATAACTCCAAGATTCCTGACAGTGGTGCTAGAGGCCAAGTTAATGCCATCTAGAGTAACTATATCTTTAGACAGTGAGTCTCTAAGGTTTTTAGGGCCAAGTACAAGAATTTCGGAGTTTAACATCAGAAAATTGCAGCTCCTCCAGGATTTTATGTCCTTAAGACAAGTTTGTAATTTAGATAATTTGTTAATTTCATCAGGCTTGATCGATAGATATAACTGCGTATCATCTGCATAACAGTGAAAGTTAATGGAGTGATTCCTAATAATGTTGCCCAAAATAGTATTGGTCCAAGTACAGAACCTTGTGGAACTCCATGACTAACTGTAGTATTTATTGAAGATTCATCGTTAACATGTACAAACTGCGAGCGATCTGATAAATATGACTTAAACCAGCTTAGTGTGGTTCCTTTAATGCCAATTTGATGCTCAAGTCTCTGTAAAAGAATATCATGGTCAATGGTGTCAAATGCAGCACTAAGATCTAATAATACAAGTACAGAGACAAGTCCATTGTCTGAAGCAATCAAAAGGTCATTATTAACTTTAACCAGAGCTGTCTCTGTGCTGTGATGAAGTCTAAATCCTGACTGAAAATCCTCAAATAAACTATTGCTATGTAAAAAGTCACAGGTTGATGGCTTCGATGTAGAAATTATTATAGCAGAGAAACAGTCTAAATATATATCTGAGTTTACATTAGTTAAAGTCCCTTAACTTGGAGAGCCACTGATAACTGTTGATGGCAGTTGGTGATTAATTTTCTCTCTAATAGTAATAATTTTATTATAAAAGAAGCTCATAAAGTCATTGCTACTTAAGTCTATGGGGATATGTGGCTCAATAGAGCTGTGACTCTGTCAGCCTGGCTACAGTGCTGAAGAGGAACCTACGGTTATTCTTATTTTCTTCTATTAGTGCTGAATAATAGGCTCCTCTGGCATTACGGAGGGCCTTTCTATAGGTTTTAAGATTATCTTGCCAAATTGAGCGATATTCTGATAATTTGGAAGAGCGCCATTTCCTTTCAGATTTCCTAGCTATTTGTTTTAACTGGCGGGTTTGGTGGTTGTACCACGGTGCTAGTTTCCTATGTTTTAATAATTTCCTTTTATAGGAGCGATAGAATCTAATGTTCTTCGTAGTGAGCCTGCAGCACTATCAACAAGATTATCAATTTCAGCGGGACTAAAGTTATTATAGGACTCTGTTATATTCAGACATGGCATTAAATTAAACACTGAAGGAATCTCCTCCTTAAATTTAGCTACAGTTAATGAGACTAGCTGCAGACGGGAAGAAACTGATTTTGTGGCGAGAGGTTTTGGTCCTGATGGACCGCAGCCTCCTGCCAGAGGGAAGTGTTTCAAAGAGTTTGACCAGGTTGGGAGGGGTCAGCCACAATCTTGCCTGCCTCTCTCAGGGTCCTAGCGGCGTACAGGTCCTGGAGGGATGGCAGATTGCAGCCGATCACCTTCTCAGCAGAACGAATGATACGCTGCAGTCTGCCCTTGTCCTTGCCAGTGTCAGCAGCGTACCAGATAGTGATGGAAGAGGTGAAGATGGACTGCTGCTGGGCTTTCTTGGTGAGGTCCTGGGTAATGATGGTACCCAGGAAGCGGAAAGACTCTACAGAGTCAACTGTGGAGTCACACAGGATGATGGGGGCGGGTGGGGCTGGGTTCTTCCTGAAGTCCACAACCATTGTCGTGGAAATTCTTCCCAAAGTTGAGAAGTGCTAAGTCTCTGAAGAACTTTCAAACCGGTGTGATAATCAAGTCACTTTACTTCATGCTGCATGGAGAGAAGGTCACGTCATGGATGTTCTCTCCCGACTTCCAAAATGCTCTCCCTTATATACATTTCAGTACATCTCATTACATCACAAACAATGAAACCCCCTGTGTGTCTTGCAAATGTTACTCATGTAAATCCAGGTCTCTCTCACCAAATGGTCTTTTGATCTGTGACTT